ATGTAATAGACGTGCTTTGGCCCTTTTCAGATCGGGTTGTGCACCCATTGCCATAGAAACCGGGCGTTATAACAATACTCCAGTTAATGAGAGGAAATGTAATCTGTGTAATCTGGATTATATTGAAAATGAATTGCACTGTTTTATTGAATGTTCAGTATACACTTCTTTCAGAACCCAACTGTTTAATGATCTTGCTAAATTTAATCCATCCTTCTCTGACCTAAGTAATATTGAAAAATTTACATACTTGATGAGTGATGGCAATCACTGTTATATGGTTGCAAAATTCGCCAATCAGATTCTTTCAATACGGCAGTCTATTTTGTTTAATCACTAATGTTGAGATTTGTGTGTTTTTTTATTTATTATATGTTCTATTTGTAGACTTTTTCCTTTCTTTCATGTTGCGTGGTAGTACACAAAAACAAAAAAAGGGAAAAAAAGTAAAAAAGGAAAAGAAAAAAAAAAACTAGTTATGAGCCCTTGAAGCTTTTTTCATGTATTTTTTTAAGATGTGTCACTCATAAGCCAGTATTGGCTGGTCTTATTGTATTATAAGAGTGTGACGTTAATAAAGACAAAACTAAAACTAAAACTACATTGTTGCATACTAAAAAATCATTTTCGGAGTCCGAATCCGCGAAGATTTCTGAAATGACCTCTTCTGAAAACAGACGAGTGCGATCCATTTTCTTTGTCGCGTTTCGTATCCTGGAGATACTCGAGCTTTTTGGTGTAAGTAAACACGTCACGCTAAGCATGTTGGGGGCTGGGGTTTCAAAAGTGAAAAAATGTACGGTCCAAAACGAATTTATTGCAGAAATTTCTACCACAGGTCCACAACTTCCTATCTATTGGATTGTATAATAATACTCAAAAGACGGAGATTTCCGTCTTTGGCAGTCAAGCGTTGTGTAACAAACGCAGTCAAAGTGTTAAAACAGTTTAGTATATAGTTCTGGCCTGCTGAACGACTATGGAGTGATAACCGTGTACTTACAGAACCCTGCTCACCGTTAGCTACAGATTTAGGTCTAGGGCAGAACATTACTAAAAAGGTAGACCTACTGTAATTAAGTAAGAAATTAAAAATAGGACAAAGCCTCTACTAAGCCTACTAGACTCTAGGGCCATTCTCCTGGAAAGTGATGTATTTTTAATGGTATGCCATCTAGCCTAAGCTTAATTGTGTTTGCCATTGTCCACACTAGTCTTACTACCAGGGTCTATTCTAGATAATTTAGGCCCGTTTTATTAAGGAGGACTATTTTTTAATCATGCCTAACTAGTCGATGCGAGTGACTAAGTTTCATCATTCATTTGGCATCCTGGTACTTGCATTCTGTGTTTCACAAGTCACTTATTCTGTTTCTAAATTACCTTTCTTGTTGGTGGCGCTATCCAGAATGAGAAAAATCATAAAATATAAGAGGCTTCTGGCAAGTCTATTTGTAAATATAAATGAAAACAAATACATAAAAGATACAAACAGTACTCATAGTGTATCTATGTATGTATACTGTATAAGTACATATGCATGTGTGCATGTGTGTGTGTGTTCGTATATATTAAGTGACTACAGACAAATATTTCAAAAGCCTACTACCCAAGTACAATATTCAAACAAGCTTTTAAGGTATTACAATAACACACTTTTCTGCACTATTTAATTTCAATTAATTCAAGATGTGAAAATGTTCACTCCTATCTTGAAAAAAATGTTTCAGAAATGTTGGATTGTTCATTAATTTTATTATAAATCATTTTCAGGCTTATTTCAAGATGGCTAAGGCAAACCCATTTTTGGATGACTTATTTGGAAATTCTGAACAATTTCCAAAAAGAGATTCGGTGTGTGTTTGTGGGAAAAATGAAGCAAAATACTACTGCCAAGATTGCAGACAAGACTTGTGCAATACTTGTAGTGACCATCATACCAGATTTCCATCAATGGCAAATCACAATCTACGAACATTGGAGTACATGCAATCAAAGGCTCTAGAAGATGATCTGTTAGTGTTACAACAACCTCAGCTGACGTGTTTGATTCATAGTAAACCTTTCAGGTTTTTCTGCACAGAAAGTAAAAATCTAATATGCGAGGAGTGTACAAGTACCAGCCACAAACCTATCAAAATTTTAGAGGCTTTTCAACAGTTTGAAAAAACTGCTGCAGAATTGAAAGAAGATGCCGATGATTTTACAGACAATTTACAAAAAGGTATTGATAGAGTTATGCACAATGATAACAAATTAGAAGACAGTAAAGCTGCCTGTTTAAAAGCTATAGATGATACTGCAAAAGAACTGATCAATAAAATCAATGACAATACAGAACAAATGAAAAATAAATTAGAAACAATCTACAAAAATAAAAAAAAGGTAAGCAACATGCAAAGTGATGAATTGAAAACAAAAATAAATGAGGTAAAAAACTTACAGAGTAGATTAAACGAGATTTTAATGGGTGATAAAACTACAGCTATGCAATCAAGTAATGTAGTATATGAAGCACTTAAGGACAAAATTGGTGAATTGCCTAAGACAGAGCCAAACGATGATGGCGAAATTAACTTCAACAAAAGCATGTCTATATTGCAATGGAAATGTGATATTGGAAACGTGACTGAACAGATGGCAGATCGCCTATCATTAAAAGGAGGAGAAGATGTGACCCAAGGTCAGCCAATTGTTGTCAAAGTAAACAAAACAGAAGATTGTGACATAGATGCAAACCAATTAAAGGCAACATGGACACACCCTACAGGAGAAACCAACATTTCTCAAGTTGAAGAAGATGACAACGGAGATCCCACTGTTACAGGAAAGTGCACAAGCCCAGGTATATGCAAACTAGATGTGCGTGTTGGCGATAAACCAATCAGACAGTCACCAATGAGCATAAAAGTAAATAAGGAAGGACTGGTACACACCATTAAAATAAAAGAAGACATTGTTTCAGATGTAGTTCTGTATGATGATGATCGCATGCTTGTTTCTTGTCGGACAAAATACATTTTCAGGTACACGCAATCAGGAGAGTATATTGAAAAGGTTACATTACCAGAAGGTGTAAAAGTTAACAGAATGTACAAGATGAAGAATGGTGATGTAGCATTTAGTGATTATGGTAATAAATGTATCACATTAATTAATACTAAGGATCAGGTGATTAGATCAATCGGTCAGGGACAACTGAAGAATCCCAAGGGTCTCCATGTAGATGAGTCTGTTGTGTATGTAGCCGATTGGAATAATATCTGTGTGTTAAACATTGGTAATGGCCAGATTATGCGGCGTATACCACAAGAACGCAATGTCCCTGACATTACTCTTACCAAAGGAGGGAATGTGATTGTATTATATGATCAGACTAATTTATTGAAATTTCAAAATACAAAACAATATGTATTACAAGTACTGGATAACGAGTTTAAGTTTCTGAAAAACATTGTCAAAGCAGATGGAATGTTGAAGCCACGTGGAGTTGTAGTGGATGCAGATGATAACATTATTATATCAAGTGAAGACAAATTGGAGGTATTCAGTAATGATGGAAGTCTCATCAAAAGAATTGATAAAGAAGAGGATGGAATCAACATTCCATGGGGATTATCTATCTCAAATCACCCACGAAGAGTTGTAGTAGCAAACAAGGGAAATGCAACCATACAAATATACAATTATTAAACATATTATTTATAGCCCATTTATAGCAACTGGGCTGTTGCAAAAAATATTGGTAATAAACATTGTTGTTAAAGAAATATTGTGATTGGATGATAAATTAAATTTAGCAATGTTGATGTATAAAATATTGACAAATTTTTTGTATAAAATGTAACTTTTGTAGCATAAAAAGTTGGTGTACAACAGCGGTCGGAAAAACCTTGGGTCGCAACCTAAAAAAATGGGTTACAGGAAATTACTTATGTGTGTCATCTGGTGAATGCATTGTGGTCGTGGGCAAGTTTAAGACTCGGGTTGCGTTATTCTATTTATTCATTTATTTACCAAATTTATATAGCGTCCTTTTCATTAAGAATCATGTTTAAAGGCACTTTCGTAAGAATACACAAATACAATACAAGAATATAAATTTAGAAAATATGACATTATTACATTATTGGATAGCATTGAAGAAACAACAAGTATAGTGGCCTGGCATCTGAAGATTTTGGCGGCTTTAAACAGAAGCATGTGAAGTAATATGCAGATGAAAGGTCTATGAGTGCAATACCAGTCTTAAGGGCTCGTTGCAGGTAGTGAGAGCAAGTACTTGATCAACACAACTCTTTCCAGCTCTAAACCCTGCTTGTTTGGATGGTAAATAGGTTCCACTAGTGGCATTAATCTAGAGAGAAGGAGGCGTTCAAACAGTTTAAAAGTGGTGCATAACAAGCCGATAGCTGGCTGGATCTGCTGCAGGTTTACCAGGTTTCAGGATAGCGATTACTTTTCCGAATGAAAGGATTACTCCTGTGGCATGGATGTTAGTAAACAAAAAGCTCAACCATAAACGTCCATGAGGTCCCAGGTTTTTTAGTTTCCTTGCTTTAGTTACAGAGAGACCTACATCAACATCAGATATGGTGTAAGGAGAAGAAAGCGGTGACTTTGGTGGGGATGACGAAAAAGCCTCAGACAGCTTCTTCCTAACTTCACATTTGCTTGTTGTTGGTTTCACCTTCGAGTTCTGAAGCATGAAGAAAGTGAGAAAGTATCTTTTGTGAAGCCCGAATCGATTGTCCATTTAGATCTCTAGATACAAGAAAAAGATCTGGAATATATTCCTTTCTCCATCTGCATGAATAAAAGCTGCCAGGTTGTTTGGCATCATGGAGGTATTGGTCACTGGCTGATGCCCATGCCATGAGTTGCTAACCGGCTTCATTTTCTGTATCATATCCACAAGACATGTGATGACTATTGTAATCACCAGCAAAAACTTTAAGTGAGTAATTAGGCAATGCTGTGAGAGGCTATTTAATATTTGGCAGCCTATAGATATTTATAATTGTAGTATCTGCCAACCTTTACCACAGCCAAAAATATACCATCGGAGCTAGATTCTTTAATAATGGAGAAGTTGCTAATATTGCTGTTAATGTATGTTGCAATGCCATACTTTGCATGATGCACTGCTGCCACGAGATTGTAGCCACTGATGCATAGCCTAGATGACTCATTTTAGAGGTAATAAATTAATATCGACTTGGGTCACCTTATTCTATCACATACTTTGGGTCTAGCTTTAAAATACATTTTTTTTTAATATTTTCGCTTTGATTTTGATACCTTTCCCACTGAATATTATGAAAAAATTGAAAGGAAAAGAAACATATGCAACGCTAATGTTAGGAAACAGTTATCTGCATGTAGGTGGTATGCGTCCTTTCTATGCTGACTTTGATTATTATTTAAAATCAAATTCTATTTTCTTGTTTTCTTTTATGAATATTTGCATTACTTATATATGTTTCTTTTTTACTATGTGAGTTTACTTAATACTTTTATATTTTTCATTAGTGTTAAGTATAGATAGTAGCTTTGAATTTATCTCTATTTTGCATTAATTTCATGGTGATAATTACGCTTTTAAATTTAATTTAAATTTTGCATTGCTTATAAATGTTTTTTTTTACTATATGTGAGTTAACTTAATACTTTTACATTTTTCATTAGTGTTAAGTATAGATGTAACTTTGAATTAATCTCTATTTTGCATTAATTTCATGATGATAAATAAGCTTTTAAATTTAATTTACTTTTTAAGTTAAATTATGATTTTGTTTTGCTTTTGTTGTTACACTAGTTTCAAATGAGTGTGAAAAATAATGTAATGAGTAGAAGTATCATTAAATTGGAGCCTGGAGTACCATAATTATTTTTTAACTTCCTTTCCTTAAATAAGGAAGTGTTTTATTCTCTCTGGTATATTTTGTAGTATAATAGCCTTAAGTTTGAGCACTTGGCACAAAGACAAGCCAAACAAGCAAAAAAAAAAAAAAAAAAAAAAAAAAAAAAAAAGGTTATAAAATGGTAAAAGAATCATTTAAATCTAATATTTTTCTAGGAAGTTACAGGAGTTTAAACACACAGCTGTTTAAATAACAGTACTTGAGAAATCAGCTTTTAAAGGTTTTATAATTTCCGAGATTTCTCAGGCAGAAACCATCAATAAATCATTAAAAAATATTGTTATATAACAACATAGATTGAGGTATAGATATCTAACGGATAGCTTAATAGTAATACATAACTTTCAAATAATTTCGACATTGCAACATGTTCCATAACATGTTGCGATGAGTGACCGGTTTGGCTTGTCTACGCCACATATAATGTTATTACTTTTTACTTCCTTTTCCTAAATCAGAAAATTTATTCTCTCTGGTGGTTATTATTTAGTGTTAAATTTGAGCATATAATGTTATTATTTTTTTTACAGTATGTTGATGATTTAAGTTTTGAAGTACTATATTACATTGCTTTTGTGGTTGATGTATTCTATGATGCATGTATTCTATGATGCCTGTTCATTCTGTTCAATTTCTATTTTGTTAAAATACATAGCCTCAATTCACTATTAAATTACTTAAGTTTTTATTGTGAATGCCAGTTTTGACAACTGCAGTTAAATCCTTTTTTAAGATTTAAGATATTGCACAATAATAGATGTTTTTTGTTTCCATCAGCTCATCTTTTAAAAGAGGTTACAATTTGTTACAAGTTTGCATACATTTATTTTCCATTCTAATTAAGTTTGTTTGAAATTAATTTACATAAGGCACGTTCAGACAAGTCAGAAGTAAGCTTTAAAGTAGCAGTATACTTGTCGTAAACCCTGGGTAGTGCCCGTGCACTTCAACCTTACTACATACGATTTACTCCTGAGCAGTCTCAGGAGTAAGTGTGCTACAGTAATTCTGCGTACACAAGGAAGTTAAGGAATACGCACTTGCTGTGCTGTGTAGACACGCACTTACTTCAGAGCTCGCAAGTAAATGTGACCTTTATTTTGACCTTAATTATTTGCAAAATATAAATACCTACAAATGAGTGGCAAAATAACACTGTGATATGTAAGCCTTTGTAGGCACAATGTTTTCATAATTGTTTACAAATTTGTGGTGACTATCACTTCCGGAAAAGTTGCATGGTTACTTCTAAGCTTTGAACTAGTTGTCCTGGATAAACATCATGTGGACATACGTCGGAAGTAACGTGCGAGTAAAATTTTACGTTTGTCGTAATTTTACTTCAGACTGAATGTTGGCTGAACAAAACTTTTAATAATAAGGACTTACTTTCAAGAATTTTAAGTATTTTAAAGCTTGATTTCTCTTTTTATTGTATTACTGTATTTTAGCTTTATCATAATTTTTTACTTTTATTAATTAACAACTTTTTAGTTTTGATAATTTAACCACATTTAGTTCTCAATCAGATAATCAAGGCTGACATACAAAAAGGGGGGACTGAATATAGTAATTATTTAGCATTTCATAATTACCCAATCCAACAGTTGATTATTGTATAACAACTTATTCCAATGGGTAGTTTGCCATAATCTGACAGCATCTATATCTCAGAACATATTCATTTCTAGAAATGTTGACCGGAATGTTGACCAGTCTGTGGTCACTATCAGTTCACTGCACTGTTAATGTTACCAATTTTAAAATGCACTGAGAAGTTAGTTGAATCTATAGCATAATTATAATATGCCTGCTGGCTTATAGTAAACCTATATATTGTTTCTTGTATTTTATTTGAAATTTCATTTATTTATAGAAAATATTCCATACAGTTAAAAACCCTGAGGGCTAAAGCCACTGTGTTTACATACAAAATACTGATGACAAGTTAAAAATATAGATTTTAAACATCAAAAAGGCATGCAAAACAAATCCTTTGTGTGATTGAACCTGTGTGACTAGCTGCTTTATATATACATATACTTACATATATGTATATATTTTTGTTGATGGGCTATGGACGATACATTTACAACATCATTAATTTGTTCTTATACGTTTAATGCTATGCAGCATAATTTGATTTTAGTATGCATACATATAATGTATACATATAATTTGAATATGTCTGGTATTTATAGACTTGACCAGTGCAAATTTATATTGTAAACAGACCATATGACAGGTGGCTAACAGGTAAGATATCGTATGAAAATAAATACCTGCTGTAGGTCTAACGTACACCGTCCTACGCCGAGGGATCTGGTTAACATGTAACAATTAAGGATTCATTTCAATCTTCACTGCAGAAAATAAATTTTCTATTGAGTAGGTCTATATTTTTCTTTTTAAATCAGGAGGCACAAATTTAGTCGGGAACCATCAAATCAGGAATTGTATATTTTACTGATGATTAATTGATAAATAAAAACTTGTTTGAGAAATAGCAAAATTTAGTAGTGTATGACATTTCATTATAGTATACATGACATGTTCCAGCTGCTGGCATAGGAATATATCACAATATTTTCAAGTCACATTGCCAAAAAGTAGGTCAACACAGTATACAGTGCGGTGCGTAACCATAGTCAGTTTTCTGTTTGATACCTCTTTGTGGGCCAACAATTTGTTAATAAAATATGTTGCGTGTTGTCAAGAATCAGATGTTTTATAGCCTATTTAAAGTGCTTGAAAAGTAGTTTCTAAACTGATTATGCATACTGTAGGACTTGACATGTATCAGCAGTTGTCAACAAGAGATTATAGCCACAGTTACAGCATGCACGCAAAGATTGAACATAGCAAATACCCTATTGTATAATGATTTGATAGACTCTAAACCGTCTTGCGGTAATGCTGTAATATGAATAAATTTTTAAATATTAAAGAAGTGGAATCTGTGAGTGTGAAAAAATAGTGCCAAAACCGGAATCTGTCTATGCAGACACCTTAACCACCTAGGCCATTGAGGCTTTGTTGGGAATTCAAATCCAATTAAGGCATCTAATTCTTCACACTCATGCACATGCATAGTTAGACAACACTAGTCCTAAAGCATGGCAAACAACAAAGGTCAATATGATACGTCCTCTCATAAGCATTTGACGACAAGATGAGGTCTCCGAATAAATGTTTTTTATATATAAATGATAATATGATAGAGCTAAACTCTAAATCGTCTTTGCAGTAATGAAAAGAAATCAGCGAGTATGAAAATATTTAAAGCAAAAACCAACATTAGATCAATACATATATAT